AAACCTGGACCGCCCGTCGGCGTCCGTGCAGACGCGGCCCGTGAAGACCGTGGTCCTGCACCCGCGCTACAGCTGGGCCGGGGCCGACTACGACGTGGGCGTGCTGGAGCTCGGCGAGGACGTGGAGGAGACCAGCCACGTGCGGCCCGTCTGCCTGCCCCGCCCGGGGCAGTGGCGCGAGGCCGACAGCTACTGCCACATCACCGGCTGGGGACACATGGGCAGCAGAAGTAAGCCCGGCCCCCAGGAGCCCTTCCGCCTGTGCTGGGGGCCCGGCCTTTAGCCAGGGTGCCCCGTTGTCACCTACAAAAAACCCACCCCCAGATGGTACCTGTCACACGCCCCTCGCTGTGCAAATGGGAGACTTTAATAATCTACTATGAGGCCGGGCGCGGTGGGCTCACACCTGTCATCCCGGCACTCTGGGAGGCCGAGGCGGGAGGATCGCTCTCGAGGCAGGACGTTCGAGCCAGCCTGAGCAAGAGCGAGACCCGTCCATACTATAAATAGAAAGAAATTAATTGGCCAACTAAAAAATATATATAGAAAAAATTATCCAGGCATGGTGGCGCATGCCTGTAGTCCCAGCTAACTCGGGAGGCTGAGGCAGGAGGATCGCTTGAGCCCAGGAGGTTGCTGTGAGCGGAGGCTGATGCCATGGCACTCACTCTAGCCTGGGCAAACAAAGCGAGACTCTGTCTCAAAAAAAAAAAAAAAAAAAAATCTGTACTACTATTTAGTCTTAACCCCCGTAACAGACCCTCTCATTCTGTTTTATCTGTTTAAAGTTTAGAATGAGAGTCAAATCAATGAGACCTTTCCTTTAACTGCAAAAACCTGCCACTCTGACCATATTGTGTAGAATGCCACGGCGCTCAAGAATGATGATGTGTATTGGCATTCCGTCATCGACCTTAGAAATTGTATATTCAAAGGAACAGTTTTTCTTTTTTTCTTGCGATTTAGCAAGATCGGTTTTGAGCTAAGTTGAGTTTCTTTAGTCTATGATCGATTCAAGGATGAAAAGAAAAAGTCGATGGACAGAAATCAATGACTTTTTCAGAAAAAGTTCACGTGTAAGAATTTTGAGGGCAATGCTGTGCGTATGATGTGCATATTCCTATGCACCTCAGTTTTAGAATCTGTAATTATCGCTGTGATATAACAGAATATATTTTATACAGCCTCTGCTTGTATTCCTCCTACAACATCCATGCAAAACTCAAAGCAAGAGCGGAACATAGTACACCTATCACATACAAAGGGTAGTATGGAAAGCAAGGATATGGATTCAAAGTCAGAAAGAACCGATTGACCCTGAATGCACCACCTTCTAGCTCACCATAAAATGGACAAAATAATAGCAACTGTTCTCCGTATCTCTAAGAAATGCCCAAAGAAAATAAATGTAAAAAAGAGCAACTAACTCACAGGATTGTTGGGAAGATTAAAGGCAATAAGGTAAGGCCCTGAAGATGCTGAGTATAGGTGCTTGGCTACTGCTAGTACCCTGTGACATTATATGTTAGCTATTGTTCTTTTAACAACTCACGGGACATTCGCTGTCTGCCACGTTCATTCTTCCAACAATGACTCTTTCTTCCAATAAGTTTGCCCAGGGATGATCCTCCATCGCCGCTTAAAAGAATGGTGTGTATAGTTTTGTAGCATGGCTAAACAGCAAAAGATTCGTGCTATCTTCTTACTCCAAGAAAGCCATTGGTTGTTCTGCAAAAACGTTCAAGTAAGATGGAATTCACATATTCTCTCTGTCGACACCAAGGGATGGCTTTGTGCTTTTCAATATCTCTCTGTCATATATATCCTCTAGGATGAAAGGTTCTGACATCAAATAATAGCGACTGGAGCACAAGATGAGACTTGTGAGACTTTCCACCAAGAATACAGTGACCCTTCCACTGGTCTGATTTTTTTCCTTTTCATTGCAGCAGCTGTTATTTTTGGTAGCAAAGACTAAGCGGGAGAAAGCATGAAACAAGGAACTTAACCAGACTGTGCCTCAGTTTCTTTGTTTTCTGGGGGTTTTTTTGAGACAGGGTCTCGCTTTGTTGCCCAGGCTAGAGTGAGTGCCGTGGCGTCAGCCTAGCTCACAGCAACCTCCAACTCCTGGGCTCCAGCGATCCTCCTGCCTCAGCCTCCTGAGTAGCTGGGACTATAGGCAAGCACCACCACGCCCGGCTAATTTTTTTTTTTTCTATATACATTAGCTGGCCAATTAATTTCTTTCTATTTATAATAGAGACAGGGTCTCGCTCTTGCTCAGGCTGGTTTCGAACTCCTGACCTTGAGCAATCCGCCCGCCTCGGCCTCCCAGAGTGCCGGGATTACAGGCGTGAGCCACCGCACGCCCGGCCCTCAGTTTCCTTATTAAGAAAATAAAACGATTTCCCCAGATGACTGCTATGAACCCTTTCTAGTTGGAAAATTCCGATTCCAAACAAGCCTTTGTCTTCAAAAACGACAATTTCAAGTATAGAATAAGGTTCTTCGGGTATAAAGCTATTCATAGGGTAGTTGAGTTTCATATTTGGCTAGTTTCACTGTTGAATCTTTTTTTTTTTATCATTTTGTGTATATTTCTTCTTCTTCTTTTTAAATCCAGTGCCTTTTAAGCTGCAGGAGGGAGAGGTCCGCATCATTTCTCTGGAGCAGTGTCAGTCCTACTTCGACATGAAGACCATCACCGCCCGGATGATCTGCGCCGGGTACGAGTCCGGCACGGTGGACTCATGCATGGTGAGTTGCTTTCTGGTCACCAACGAGAGTCAGTTCAGCATTAACCTCCCTGTGAGTCCCCATGAACTTGTTATTATTCATGTAGCGTCCTTTGGGGACATTTTTGGAGACTTGTTTGTTGCCCAATGTCGAATTATTCCTAACGTGTTTTCCTTCGCCCAGTACCCAAGCAAACCCCTTAACTACCTCCATGCCATTTGTGCAAGTTGCCTTCAGCTTCTAGGTGTATTTACCGTCCCGGGAACGTAACTCTTGGGTCACTAACACGAGGCAAAACTCTTGTTTCTGTCCTTTCGTTGGAACATTTCATTGGCTAGCGGAAAACGAGGTTCTAGGAGGGGCCGGTGGCAACCATGGCTCCAACCCCAGCGAGCAGGGGCCACCAAAGGACATTATCAGCCATTCGAGTGATGGCATCGAGCGATGGCACTCACCGACACCCCAGTTTGCATGGTATGAGACAGGACTCCCTCTGACTCAAGACTGAGCACACTGGCCTTGTCTGGGTCCTCTCTGGACCCTTGTGTGATTGCCAAAAAGTTCTCAAATGTCACCAAACCCAACACTTCAGTACTCAGGATTCAGGGCCGCAATAATTTTCAGAGCATGCTAACTTAGCAGTGCAGGGAAGCATTTTTAGTTTTACTTAATAAATGTTCAATGACTATTTTTGCTAGACTGGCTCCCAGGAAAGGGTGAATGTGGGCAAGTGCTCAGATAAAACCAAAAACGTGCTGGGGCGCGGTGGCTCACGCCTGTCATCTAGCACCACTTGGAGGCAAGGCGGGAGGATCGCTTCAAGGTCAGGAGTTCGAGACCAGCCTGAGCGCAAGAGCGAGACCCGTCTCTACTAAAATAGAAAGAAATTCATTGACCAAGTAAAATATATATACAAAAAAAAAAGTTAACGGCCCATCTGTGGCGCATGCCTGTAGTGCCCAGCTTTATCGCGAGCTGAGGCCAGGAGGATCGCTTGAGCCCAGGAGTTTGACGTTGCTTTGTGAGGCTAGGCTTGACCCCCGGACTCACTCTAGCCTGGGCAACTAAGCGAGACTATGTCTCAAAAAAAAAAAACCCCAAAATAACTTGATAACAATTTGGGGGGGGACAGTTATCATGCTACACTGCAATGAAGCATCAATGTTATTTTAAACTGCTTTGCAGTAAGACTAACATGACCATCCGCATTTTCGAAGGAAGACAGTCACAACAATACCGTTACCACTAACTCAACAGATTTCAGGACTTTTTTGAATGTTCCATTTTAAATTTGAAACAAGAGGTTCTTCACTCTGTTGCCTGGGGCTAGGGTTGCCGTGGCAATCAGCCTAGCTCAGCAGCAAAACCCCAACTTCTGGACTCCAAGCGATCCTCACGATCCTTCCTGCCTTTCCAAGCCTCCTGAAGTAAGGTTGGCACTACAGGCAGCACCATGCCCGGCTTTAATTTCTATAATATTTTAGTTTGTCCAATTAATTTCCTTTCTATTTTTAGTAAGAGACAAGGGTCTTCACACTCTTGTCAGGCTGGTTCCCAAACTCCTGACCTGTGAGAGCGATCCTCCCGCCTCGGCCTCCAGAGTGCTAGATGGTCAGGCGTTCCGAGCCACCGTGCCCGGCTTTTTTTGATGGTCATTTTAGAATGGATTGAAAGTCCAAGGGGATGGAAAATGGTTCCAGATTGGTGACTTCCTTTGACAGTTGGCCAGAGGAAAAAACAGGGAAGCAACGGTTTTCCCTTGGGTTTTTTGCCTTGAGGCCACCTGCCTTTCTTGCCTGCTACTAAGAAAGCCAAGGTTTTTTTGACTCCATGAGCCAAAAAACCAAAGTGCTTTAGGAAGGACAAAAAATGGTTGGGGGTTGTGGAGCCAGATTCGAAGCCTGAAAAGGAATCCGGATTGGAAATCAATCCCGCCGGTTGAGGACAAACGGTTTAAACCCTGGGGAGCACTCAGCTGGACTTCTTCAGACAGTTTTCTCCATGAAGTTTGAAAGGGCCAATTAAAATGCCCTAATTTACAGGATATCTTTTGAAGGATTTGACTGAGCTTGATTGAAATGTGAAATCCCCGCCTTCCATCTATCTGTATGCGATGCTGCCACATACCTTAGACATTCGATGATGATAATTACATTTAATTCAACACCCGTATACTTTTAAGTGCTTTATTGTGTTCCAGGCTTTCTCTGCAAAAATGTTTTTTTTCCATACGTCTTTGGATTCAACGACAGTCCCCATGCGGCCAAAGTGTCCAATTGCTTCCAAACAGAAATAGGGAAGCAGAGAGGTTGAAGTCACGGCCCATTTATTGCCCACATGAAGGTGGTAGAGTCAGATGTGAACCGAGCAGTCTTGGCTTTCAGGGTACAGGGCTTTCAGTCACTGCCCTAGCCTACAATGATTTTTCCCCGAAAAAAAGACCTTGCCCAAAAACAAGCCCTAGCAGGATGTCTAAGCAATGTGTTTGCAATAGAAGCCCCTCCCCGGAAAATTCAGCCCTAGTGAAATGGCCGTGGCTATTGAAAATAGCCCTGGTGATGGGCCTGGCTATGAGAACCAGTCCTAGTGATGGGCGTTAGGCCTATGAAAATCAGCCCCCTAGTTGAGGGCGTTGGCTAATCGAAAAATCAACCTAAGTGATGGGCGTGGCCTTATGAAATTCAGCGCCAATGGAAGTGGGCGTGGCTATGAAAAATCAGCCCTAAGTCGAATGGCGTGCTATGAAAATCAGCCCTAAGTGGAGGGTTGTGCTTAATGAAAATCAGCCCTAGTGGGGCGTGGCTAATGAAAACAGCAGGCCTAATGATGGGGTGCTTGCGCAGCGGCATCTTGCCACAAACCATGGCAGGTTTGTCGAAAGGCGGAAAAAAGAAGAGCACTTCTTCAAATCTGCCCCGTGAGAGCTCAGTGCTCCAAGGAAGATCGGGCCCAGTGGTTCTAAAGGAAACAGAGTCCAAGACATTCAGAATGGGATCGGGTTGAGAGTGGAGGATGAAGTTCCAGAAGAAGACGACTTTTTCCACTTCTTTAATTTGAATCAATGAATGGTTTGCACTGTCCTTACAAAAAATAAACATCGCCTGAAAATAAGTCTTAGGGTTTTTCTTGAGGAAATAAATATAGACCTGTCTTAATTTCAGGGAAACACAGTAAACTAGTCAGCACTAAAATATTGAGCATCCTACGCATTATTTTTGAAAGGAAATAAAAAAATTGTTAAATATATCTCTAATAGAAATGTTTCCAAGACATTTTTTTTTAAAAAAAAAAATCAATTTAGATGTTTCAGGCCAGAAAATTGTTTTTATTTTATCCTCTTTGCAAGTTCTATGTGTATTATTTAGGCTCAGGACATTGGAAGGTTATGAATTTAAAGATCACCACTTCCATAAAAGCAGACAGCACAATCAAAAATTTCATTTTGCGTGTTCATAGCACAAGTTCTAAGAAGCAAGGAGAGGCCTGGTAGTCTACAGAGCTAGAGTCCTGTTTGGCCAGAAGTTCGGTCTACTCCAAATCCTGGCTCTGCCAAGTGAACAAGTTCACCTGTGCGTTCAGTTTTTAATATCTTCCCAAAATGGATATAATCATAATAAATGCCAGGCGTGGTGGCTCACGCCTGTAACTCTTAAGCAGCTCTGGAGGCCGAGGCGGGAGGATCCGCTAAGGTCAGGAGTCTCAAGACCAGCCTGAAGCAAGAGCGAGACTTCGTCTCTACTAAAATAGAAAGAATAATTTGGCCAACTAAAAACTATATGAAAATAGCCGGGGCATGGTGGCAACATGCCTGTAGTCGCATACTCAGGAGGCTGATGCAGGAGGTTGCTTTGAGCCAGAGTTCTGAGGTTCCCTGTTGAGCTAGGCTGATGCCACGGCAACTTCATCTAGCCGGGCAACAGAGTGAGACTCTGTCTCAAAAAATAATACCAAATAAATAAAAAAATAATATTAAATAACATCATTCTTAGTATTATTTTGTAAAGATAAAAGGCTCATCAAGAGAAATGTTTAGAGAGCATCAGTAAACTTTATCCTTATTATTCTTTGACATCACCAAGTAGAAAGACCATAGATAGGCTTCTGAGTTTGGATGTGTTATAAGCAAGGGTGTTTGTCACTTTCCAGAATTAATTTATATAACTGGTTGTTTATTTTTCTATGGCAACAACCCCTCTCTTCTGAGGCACTTCAGAGTACACTTGTCTACCTCCCTGATCTTTCAGCTGTAGCAAACATTAATGTCTGTAAAACCACAGAGTTTTAGTGTTGACTATATAGATAGAGCAGAGGTCCTCAAACTTTTTAAACAGGGGGCCAGTTCACTGTCCCTCAGACCATTGGAGGGCCGGACTATAGTAAAAAAAAACTTATGAACAAATTCGTATGCACACTGCACATACCTTATTTTGAATTTAAAAAAACAAATGGGCAAAAACACCCTCATGTGGCCCGTGGGCTGTAGTTTGAGGATGCCTGGTATAGAGGAAAGAGGTGAACAGAAAGAACCCTGCTGGAATACTAAACTTAAATAGCAAGAATGAAAGTCTCTATGGATATGAAATAAAATACAGGCTATAAATAAAATGAAATAAATACTTCACTGTAAGTAATTCTTAACTGGTATTTCCTATATTCAAATAGACCAAATTTCAAAAGCCCTAAGAAGTGCAGTGAGGACCGCCGAAATGTGTTAATGCATTCGTGCACATGAATCTTCAGAATAGAGAGTTATTTTAGAATGTTTCTGTAGTACTGTTTGTGAAGGGAAAAAAAAAAAATCTTTGAATGTTCCATTTCGGGTACTTTCTGCAGTTATAAGATTCATCAAACTGGTAGAATGATGTCCAATAAGGGGAGATAATCAGTTCTGATAGCTGAAAAAAAAAATTTTTTTTATGATGTATTTTGAAAAGTGCAGGAAATGACTGGAAGAAAAAAAATGTATTCTGATTCCCTGGAAAGCAAAAATATAATCGCTTCCCAAGCCACTATCCTTTGAAAAGAGGGAGAGGTTAAAATGTTCCTTTGAAAGTTCCATATTTTACGATGGAAAGAGAACTCCCTCCCCAGGCTGCCCGGGAAAGCTTTTTTTTTGAAATTTTCCAAGCTGGTTAAGCTGGGTTTGGCGTCATTGTACCCTCGGGACAGCATGGGTGCCATGAGGACTCTGAAATCCCAGTGACGAATGTCCTTTGCTATTCATTACAGGGTGACAGTGGTGGGCCTCTTGTTTGTGAGGGGCCCGCCGGACAGTGGACGTTATTTGGTTTGACCTCGTGGGGCTCCGTCTGCTTTTCCAAAGTCCTGGGGCCTGGCGTGTACAGCAACGTGTCGTACTTCGTTGCATGGATTCAAAGACAAATCTACATACGGACCTTCCTCCTGAACTGACTCCAGGGAGGATCAGAGATTTTGCCAGCCACACTCAAAGCCAACGGCCTTCTTGACTGTGAAGGGCTTCCTGCAGAGAGCTACCCAGAAGCCATTTTTCATGGACAGGGAATGCTCACCACTGCACCGCAGATTTGCATGTTTGTTTCGGACTACAGTTTTTCAGCTTTGTTTTTCTCTTATTTCAAGTTTGGCGAAAGACTTTTAAAAACAAAACAAAACAAAAAAAAACCTAGGCAAAACAGGCTTTGTTCTTTTGCCAAAACTAACCTTGACTGCAGCACGAGAAATTATCAACTCTGGGGAGATTTAAAACGACACAGGAGCTCTAGAGTGACCTGTCACAGGAATGTCCCCTTTTTATCCTATCGCACAAAAGACACTGAGATCCAGGCCAACGAGTTAATAAGCTTTGCCAGTTTTTGTTTCCCAAGCACAGGAGCATGCAGGCAAATTTCAACATTAACATTAGAGACTTGCTTTTTTGATTTATTAAAAGCCAAGCTCATTTTCATGTTTAAATTATTTACTGTTCCTCTTCTAATGCTTGCATAGTTCCGAGAACTTATAAAAGACAGAGGGGAAAAGACGAACAGCATCCATTTAGGTAGCAAAACATATTGAATGCAGAGTTCTTTTAGACTTCAGTATTAACACCTGGCATTATAGGATGGCCCATTCTGGATTTAAATCAAGGTTGTAATTCTATAGAAAAGTTTCTATAAGAACTTCCCACATAGCTGGGGTTTGTTCAGTGGAGATAAGTTGGTTGATTGAGATTTCAAAAACTAAATCAATACTCCTGGGAAATATTTTGCTTTGCCTATATGACAATAAAGTGGATATTAAACTTTGCCAACAGAGAATTTGGTATAGAATGGAGCAATGCAATTTTTTATAAAAGAAAATTAAATTGCATTCCTCTCTCAATTAAATATTTTTTTTCTGTGTTCATGCATATCAATAAAGCCACAGAAATATATTTCAAAGCACAGTACAACTTTGCACGGAGTAAAACATTTTGTAATTTTTCTCAAAAGATGTTTAACATCTGGTGTTGCAATTTCTTTTTATTGATAATTAAAATTTCGAAGATGATATCTTAGCACTAGGGCCACTTTATGCAAATCAATATTGAAGCAATTAGTGGTTAAAGTATTTTTCCCCACTAAAAAGCTTCCAAACACAAATCACCACATGTATCTAACTTAATTAGTCAGGCATTCATTTTGCAACATTCAAACGCCTTTTGAACAAACACACTTCCCTATGAAACCCTCCACCAGCAACCTGGATTGCCTCGGCATTCCAAATAGAGACTACTTGCAATTTTATACAGGTATTTTTGTACTCTTTTTCTATGTGCGAGCACATTGGAAATTCAGAAAGCTGTTTAAACACTTTCCATGTGATGCATATCCTGTCTTGTAGTTTGTATTGATATAAACCTAGTGAGAGTGTGAAATACAGTAACCAGATTGTGGACACCATTGTATGAAAGTTTAAGGACACATGTCAGTTTCATTATAGTTGTAGGTTCACACTTAATGTAACAAATTTTAGCCTTGCTCAAATTTTATGCAGTGAAATGTATGTAATGTACTTCTTTTAAATAATTCTTAATACAAATAAAATGGTATGATCTTTTTTTTTTTTCTGCATGGATATGGAACACAGATAGCAAATAATCAGATTGTTTCTCTCTATATAACAGCATATTGGCACCCAGCTCCCCACCAGTCAAAATGTATCTTTCTTATATCTCCTTCTCACAGGTACATGCTCTTTTAGAGGAAAAATAGCTCCTTGATCAGTCTGAAATTACACATTACTAATAGTCTCAAATCACCATTGAGTGACCAATGAGAACTTTAGCCCTGGTAAAAGCACATGGGGTGATGGGCGGTGGCTATGAAACAGTCCTAGTGATGGGCGTGGCTATGAAAATCAGCCCGTAGGTGAGGGCTTGTGCTATGAATCAGCCCTAGGTGCATGGGCGTGGCTCATGGAAATCAGCCCTAGTGATGGGCGGTGGCTATGAATCAGCCTAGTGATGGGGCTTAAATTCCAGCCTAGTGAGGGGTGTGGCTATGAAATCAGCCCTAGGTGGTGGCGTGGCTATGAAAGCAGCTAGTGATGGGCGTGGCTGCGCAGCGCATCTGCACAACCCATGCAGGTTGTCGCAAGGCGGGAAAGAACACGAGCAGCCCTTCTCATCCGCCCCGTGAGAGCTCTAGTGCTCCACAGGAGAGATCGGGGCCAGTGGTTCTAAAGGAAACAGAGTCGCAAGACATTCAGAATGGGATTCGGGGTTTGGAGAGTGAGGATGATGTTCCAGAAGAAGACGACTTCACTCTATTTGAATCAATGTAGATGGTTGCACTGTCCTTACAAAAAATAACACATCGCCTGAAAATAAGCTCTAGGGTGTTTTCTTGAGGAAAAATAAATATAAGACCTGTCTATTTTCAGGAAACACAGTAACTAGTTAACTAAATAATTGAGCATCCTAGCATTTATTTTTTATAAGGGGAAATAAAAAAATTTGTAAAATATGTCTAATAGAAATGTTTCCAGGACATTTTTTTTTAAAAAAAAAAATTCAATTAGATTTTCAGGCAGAAAATTTTATTTATCCTCTTTGCAAGTTCTATGTTTATTATTTAGGCTCAGGACATTGGAAGGTTATGAATTTAAAGATCACCACTTCCATAAAAGCAGACAGCACAATCAAAAATTCAATTTTGCTTTCATAGCACAAGTCTTAAGAAGCAGGAGAGCCTGGTAGTTACAGAGCTAGAGTCCTGTTGCCAGAGTGTCTAGCTCCAAATCCTGGCTCTGCCAGTGAACAAGTTCACCTGTGCTTCAGTTTTAATATCTCCAAAATGGATATAATCATAATAAATAGGCCAGGCGTGGTGGCTCACGCCTGTAATCTTAGCACTCTGGGAGGCCGAGGCGGGAGGATCGCTCAAGGTCAGGAGTTCAAGACCAGCCTGAGCAAGAGCGAGACCTCGTCTCTACTAAAATAGAAAGAATTAATGGCCAACTTAAAAATATATGGAAAAAATTAAGCGGGCATGGTGGCACATGCCTGTAGTCCCGCTACTCGGAGGTGAGGCAGAGGATTGCTTGAGCCCAGGAGTTTGAGGTTGCTGTGAGCTAGGCTGATGCCACGGCATCATTCTAGCCCGGGCAACAGAGTGAGACTCTGTCTCAAAACAAATAATAAATAATAAAAATAATATATAAATAACATAATTCTTAGATATATTTTGAAAGATTAAATGAGCTCATTCAAGAGAAATGTTTAGAAGAGCATCAGTAAACTTTATCCTTATTATTCTTTGACATCACCAAGTAGAAAGACCATAGATAGGCTTCTGAGTTTGGATGTGTTATAAGGCAAGGGGTGTTTGTCACTTTCCAGAATTAATTTATATAACTGGTTGCTTATTTTCTATGGCAACAATCCCTCTCTTCTGAGGCACTTCAGAGTACACTTGTCTTACCTACCCTGATCTTTCAGCTGTAGCAAACATTAATGTCTGTAAAAGCCACAGAGTTTTAGTGTTGACTATATAGAGAGCAGAGGTCCTCAAACTTTTTAAACAGGGGCCGTTCACTGTCCCTCAGACCATTGGAGGGCCGGACTATAGTTAAAAAAAAACTATGAACAAATTCGTATGCACACTGCACATACCTTATTTTGAATTTAAAAAAACAAATGGGCAAAAACACCCTCATGTGGCCCGTGGGCTGTAGTTTGAGGATGCCTGGTATAGAGGAAAGAGGTGAACAGAAAGAACCCTGCTGGAATACTAAACTTAAATAGCAAGAATGAAAGTCTCTATGGATATGAAATAAAATACAGGCTATAAATAAAATGAAATAAATACTTCACTGTAAGTAATTCTTAACTGGTATTTCCTATATTCAAATAGACCAAATTTCAAAAGCCCTAAGAAGTGCAGTGAGGACCGCCGAAATGTGTTAATGCATTCGTGCACATGAATCTTCAGAATAGAGAGTTATTTTAGAATGTTTCTGTAGTACTGTTTGTGAAGGGGAAAAAAAAAAATCTTTGAATGTTTGTTATTTTACTGCTTTGGAGTAGACTAAATGACCCCCACATTTCGAAGAAGACATACAACAATACCGTTACCACTAACTCAACATGATTCAGTGACATTTTTGATGGTCCATTTTATTTTGAAACAGAGTCTCACTCTGTTGCCTGGGCTAGGGTGCCGTGGCATCAGCCTAGCTCACAGCAACCCCAAACTTCTGGACTCAAGCGATCCTCCTGCCTCAGCCTCCTGAGTAGCTGGCACTACAGGCATGCGCCACCATGCCCGGCTAATTTTTTCTATATATTTTCAGTTGTCCAATTAATTTCTTTCTATTTTTAGTAGAGACAGGGTCTCACTCTTGCTCAGGCTGGTCTCAAACTCCTGACCTTGAGAGCGATCCTCCCGCCTCGGCCTCCCAGAGTGCTAGGATGTCAGGCTGAGCCACCGTGCCCGGCTTGATGGTCCATTTTAGAATGGATGAGTCAGGGGATGGAAATGGTCCAGTGGTGACTCCTTTAGACAGTGGCCAGAGGAAACAGGGAGCAGACGGTTCCCTTGGGGTTTTGCTGAGGCCACCTGCCTTTCTGCCTGCTACCTAAGAAGCCAAGGTTTGACTCCATGAGCCAAAAAAACCCAAAGTGCTTTAGGAGACATGGTGTGGGGTGTGGAGCAGGATTCGAAGCCTGAAAGATCCGGATTGGAATCCATCTCCGCCGGTGAGGACAACGTAACCTGGGGACACTAGCTGACCTCTTCAGACAGTTTTCTCATGAGTGAAATGGGGCCAATTATGCCTAATTTACAGGATATTTTTGAGGATTGACTGAGCTGATGAATGTGAAAGTCCCCGCCTCTCATGTATCTGTATGCGATGCCTGGCACATACTTAGACATTCGATGAATGATAATTACATTAATATCAACACCCGTATAACTTTAGTGCTTATTGTGTTCCAGGCTTCTCTGCAAAATGTTTTCCCATACCTCCTTTGATCACGACAGTCACCCCATGCGGCAGTGTCATTGCTTCCCCAAACAGAAATAGGGAGAGCAGAGAGGTTGAGTCACCTGCCCCATATTGCCCAGCATGAAGGTGGTAGAGTCAGGATGTGGAACCAGGCAGTCTGGCTTCAGGGTACAAGGGCTCAGTCACTGCCCTAGCCTACCATGATTCCCCGAAAATAAGACCTGCCCATAAAACAAGCCCTAGCAGGATGTCTAAGCATGTGTGCAATAGAAGCCCTCCCCCGAAAATCAGCCCTAGTGATGGGCGTGGCTATGAAAATCAGCCCTGGTGATGGGCGTGGCTATGAAAAACCAGGTCCTAGTGAATGGCTCGTGTGTGTTGGTATGGATTTTTTTTTTTCTTTTTTTGTATATGAAATATCAGCTCCTATGTGAGGCGTGCTATGATAATATTCAGTGCCTCTTAGTGTATTGGCTTGTGCTATGTGATGATTCATGCCCTATGGGTGTCAAATGGGCGGTGCTATGAAAATCAGCCCTAGTGGATGGGCGGTGGCTTCATGAAGAAATTCAGCGCCTAGTGAGGGGTGTGGCTATAAAACAGCCCTAGTGGTGGCGTGGCTATGAAAGCCCCTTAGTGATGGCGTGGCTGCCGCAAGCGCATCTGCACAACCCATGCAGGTTGTCGCAAGGCGGGAAAGAACACGAGCAGCCCTTCTCATCCGCCCCGTGAGAGCTCTAGTGCTCCACAGGAGAGATCGGGGCCAGTGGTTCTAAAGGAAACAGAGTCGCAAGACATTCAGAATGGGATTCGGGGTTTGGAGAGTGAGGATGATGTTCCAGAAGAAGACGACTTCACTCTATTTGAATCAATGTAGATGGTTGCACTGTCCTTACAAAAAATAACACATCGCCTGAAAAT